TATGTATACGTGTCCCTATGTGAGTTGCAAAAAATGGCATAACTATGCTTGTGGTGTTCTGAAAATTGGTGATTTCTTTGCATATCTGTCTCGACTTATAGGAGAATTTCACCCATCTCATCAGATGGCAAAGTCCTTTGGTCCAAAGTTGATGATGACGATGATGATGATGATGAGGTGTATGTGTGTTTAATTGTATCTTTTGGTGTTTCTTTGTGCACTCCTCTCAATAATGCCTAGACAATGATCACTACATAGTATTTTAATACACGTCTATTGTGTGTGAAGTATCCATGTTGCTCTTTCATGACTATTGGAAGACAATACACAATTTAAAATGTAATCTTTAAAGATTAAAAATAGATCTACCATATGATCCAGAAGTTTTACTTCTGGGCATATGTTTATTGCAGCATAATTCACAATAGCATAGTAGCCAAGATATGGAAACCACCTCAGTGCCCATGAACAGATGAAAGATAAAGACAATTTTATGTATGTACACACCTTCTAGCTGCTATATATGCACATACATATAATATACACATGTATATATTATGTGTATGATGGAATATTGTTCACCTATGAGAAAGGACATCCTATCTTTTCTGGCAGTATTATTGACACAGAAAAAGTGGTATGATGCCACTTACATGTGGAATCTAAAAAAGCCAAACTCATTAAAGCAGAGAGTAAAATGGCAATTACCAGGGGCTGGACTTTTGGGGGGTAGGACAGATGTTATTTAAGGGGACAAACTTGCAGTGAGGAGTGACTGAGTCCTAGAGCTCTAATGCATAGTGTAGGGAATACAGACAACAATATCACCAAATTTGCTAAGAATCTAGAACTTAATTATTCCAACCACTTGGAAGAAATGATAATTATATAATAGAGGCGCTAATAATCTCTACAATATGCAATCATATTACAGTATGTAAATTCATCAAATTAACATGTTCTACACCTTAAATTTACACATTGTTATATGTCAGATATATTTCAATTAAAAAAAGATTTCATGGACCGATCCCAAAATGATAAACAAGTCTATTTCGTATGCGTGTTTTACTCAAGGAACATAAGAGACATTATCTTCGCTATTGAGGATTGTTAGATAATTGAAGGAGGTTAATGGAAGATAAGTTTATTGAGGCCAAATCAAAAACGGCTTGGTTACATGTATTTCTTGTCTTGTTTTTACAAAGCATGTTGCCAGTTATACTGTAAAATTAGTTCAAGTTGTCCTGGGGCAGATAGTAGCAGACAACTGAGCATAAATATTAACTATCCTGGTATTATATAAATGACAGTATCTTCTCTCAAGTGATGCTCATGCCTCTGGCAAAGAGGGAAAGTGCCTGGGTGGCACATTTTCTTCCCATATGTGTCTTCAGTAGATTAAAAGGCAAAAACAAACTCTCGATGCCTAGTTCTGTTCTTCATGTGATTTAATGGATTTCTTAGGCTCCCAAGTCTCAGGGGCCATCAGCGGTTCCTAATCTGGTTGCAACAGGGCCAGTTAAAATCTGATCTTCTCTAGCAGGGCTGCATCTCAGACCAGTGGGAAGTGGAACAGCTTCTCGCCTATGGCTTGGGGTATGGGTTCCCTCCTGGAAAAGCTTGTGAGTTGAAATCAGAAAGTTTTTGTTTCAACTCCCAATTCTTCCCCTTGCCAGTCTTATGAATATTGGCAATTTATTTAATTTTTCTGCAGCTGCGCTTTCTCATAAAGCTGGGTTAGTAATTTGTACGCAGACTACAAAGCATGATGTTAATGGGCAGTTGGGTGAAGTGTAACCCGGCCTCGTTCCCATGTTCACGTGGTGGCCATTCTTGGCCCCGTTTTTGTTCTTCTCACACCTTTCCGACACCTGTTTGTGGGAACAGTCTCTGAGTGTCATGTGCTTTTGCTGAGGGTTGTCCTGGATATTTTCCAGTTCCTTCAAGACCTACCCAGTGTCCACACTTCTCCACTCTGTGCTATTCAGCCATTCCGATGTCACTGGCTGCACTGATGGACGTTTTTGCTGCTGGTTTCTTATGTTTGGCCAGTGGCAGGTGTCGGTAGGGCTGGGGGCTAGAGATTGGGGTCAGAGAGTTCCCTTAGGCCAGGGACCAGAGGGCCAGTGCCTGGGCTCCTGGCCAAGCTCTCCCTCGGGGGTCTGGTGACCTAGTTAGTATTTTAATATGTGCCTGTTGCCTAGTAGGTATGATGTATCCGTATCGTCCTTCATGAGTAAGGGAAGGCAATAGAATCAAACCAAAACTTAAGACCGAGCAATGACGAACAAGATATTGAATGCATGAAATCCCTAGGCAATTGACATGTATGTACTGGAATTTCCAGACGTGACCTTCCTCCTCATGGCTTAGAGTGGAAACAAGTCTCCACAGTGGTGCTTCCATCAGAATTACTACAGAATACCAGTTATATTCATGTTCTTTCAAAATGGTTTAGTTTTTCAAGATAATTTAGTTTCAAAAGAGATTATGTGGCCTGATGACAAAGTGACAAGTCTGTTTCATGTGAGGTCTTCCTTAAGTCAGGAACATAAGGGCTCCCTCTCTTGCCATGGGGGTCTCCTCCTGATGGCAGATGTCTCATTCTTGCTTGCTGGTCCCCCTACTTTGTAAATACTTGTGGGAACCTCGTGTGTTTCCTGTGAACGTGTCCTGTCTTTCTGATGGACCCAGACCCATCGACAGAAAGGGCGAGATGGCCCTGAAGCCCTCCCCTTTGCACTCTGCAGGCCTCCTCCCTGGGGCAGAACATGGACCCCAATCATGGCTCCAGAATGAATGAACAGTTCTCAGACCCCGTAGAATCTAAAACCCGGTGAAGTTGGATAGATTTATTTATTTCTGGAAAGTTTGTCTAGAAATTTAAGGAGAACCGTCTTTCTGTGACATTTCATAGCAAAGAGTCAGTTATTGAAAGAGAAAACGAACAAAACCAGAACGGGTAGAAAGATGGAGATTGTGTATGTGGTGGCCAAGATGGAGAGGATAGATCTGATCCATTCCCTTCAATGGTCTTCTTGGAGTAGAGGAATTTTTCTACTCAAACGGATCATGTAATAACCTGTATTTATCAACAAATATTCAGTATATTCCATTTTTTATTCTGTATTCTGGTGGTTTGGATCATAGACATTAAATCTGACCGTGAAAAACAAATACACCCAAATTACTGAAATCTAAGAAATAGTTTTTTGTGTGTTTTTTTTTAAATCATCCTTCCAAACTCATCTCTGTCTTACCGCTGATTTAAAATGTAAATTCAGTAACACAGAGCAGTTGTAAGTGCAATCTGAAATATTTATTTGGCTTCGTGACACTTCTGTTAGGTATTTTCAGTTAAGATTAAAATTAATATGTAGTTCCCGACAGTCCACCAACTGAGGCTTACGAGTTAACCAGCTATTGTGATGCTAAAAATTTATCTCTATTAATCCATCAGACACAAAATCTTCACTGAACTGATTTTAATTAAGACAGAGGAAAAATAGTTGTCCCCTCAGTTTGTTGTGGTCAGGAGGCAAGAGCCACCCTTGAATCAACACAGGCTGTGCCTCTTACTAACCGCCTTTTTTTCTTTTTAATATGTGTTTATCTTTGGAAGAGAGAGAGACAGTGCATGAGCTGGGGAGGGGCAGAGAGAGAGAGGGAGTCACAGAATCTGAAGCAGCTCCAGGCTCTGAGCTGTCAGCACAGAGCCCAATGTAGGGATCAACCCACAAACCGTGAGATCATGACCTGAGCCGAAGTCAGACGCTTAACTGACTGAGCCACCCAGGCGGTCTCTCTTACTATCCTGACCTTGAGCAAGTGACTTAAGATCTCTGTTTCTCCAACTGTAAAATAGTAAAACAATAACTAGTTATATCATCTTCACAGGATTATTTTAAGCTTTAACTGAGCTAGTACTTTGAAAAGCGTGTAAACTTTGAGGGCATGTACTATTTTATTTCAAAAGTTTTCTTCTGAATTGCAGCAGACTGTCTTTTTATGTAATGGGAAAATGAATAGAGAATAAATGTGTGAAAAAATAAAAATTCCTCCTTGTCTAGCTTGTTCAATATTGCCTTTAATAAGGGAAATGGGCCTTAGTTGGCACTTAGGAATATATGATAATTCACAGAAGAGTTCGTTGCTATTTGGATGGATTAGCTCTCCTGTGGATTTAATTACAGCCAAAACATCAACATTTTCAGCTGAAGAAAGGATGATTTTTATCCTTTTAGGCGCAGATGACAGATTTGTGTTATCTTCCTTTCTTAATGTTGTATGATCCCAGAATAGTGAGCAAATATCTAAATTTGTAGCCTCGACGTTTTAGGGAGACTCTTAACTATCTCTAAAACTTTCTCTTTGGGTGGTATCTTAAGACGTGAATATTTAAAATTTATAATTAAAGTACTCATCAACTTAGAATTTTAGAATTTGAAGGAAACCATTCTCATCAGAAAGTTGAGCTCTGAATTGCAGTGTCTTACACAGCTCATCAGTGGACCAGTGGTAAAGAGAACCAGAATGTGGCCTCCTGATGATCAAATTGGCACTGTTTTTAGTATTCATTCGTTCATTCATTCATTCATTCGGTGAGCCCATCAGTGATTCCGTAGAATTACTACTGTAGAGAGACATTCAAGTGCTTACAGATACTCCATTCTAGCAGAGAAGAAGCAATATATTTCAATATATGCATTGGAGTAAAAAATTATCAAGTTTTATTTGTTTCCCTATTATCTTATAAGTCTGTTATATTATTTTGAGACGTTTATGTAAGAGCAAACTATTTGGCATTCTACTGCAATAATCTATGTTCCAGTCATCTTGTTTATGTAACTGAAGGACATCAGAATGTATGTTCTCTTTGTTATTGATTCCCCAGCATTTCGTTGCAATGATTGGTGCATGGGATGTCTTTATTGATTGATTGATTTGTTTCTGGACACCTACAGGTTTACTTCGTTCATTAATTCCATCCTTCCACTTGGTCATATCTCAAGGAAACTTGGATGGTACAGTTCTACAGATAAGATACCAGGTAGGGAGCACCACCCAAGAGTAAAGCTCAGGACACTGAGATGGATAAAACCTTTCATTGATTATTTCTTAAAGTCTCACTTTTCTTAAGATGAGGAATGCATTGAGGGAGGATCAGTATTTTGACCATTTGGTCCCTGTAGCCAGAACTTCGTGCTTTCTCTGCTTTATTCATGGTGATGTGCCCAGTATGTAGCGGTGCACCTGCCACATGGTGGCCTGCTAACAAGTACCTCTTGAAGAAATAAAACCTCTCTCTTGTTCACTTCATTACATTCATGCTGCTTCAATATCATTCAAAACAGGTAGAGAATCAGACAGTTTTTGAAGTGTTGATGGCAATTGTTTTAACATCATTAGATACCCTAGTCTATTTCCCCTAAAATATTTTCTTATAATTATCTGCTATTCTATTATATTTTCTAAACTCTTACAAATATATAATATAGTCTGTAAGAAAATATGAAATCTCTTATGAGTTTAGTAAGTAGTTATCAGAGTTTTTAAAAAATACATAGGTATAATGAAAAGATGATAAGGTTTAAAATTTTTTTAAATGTTTATTTTCTGAGAGAGAGAGACAGAGCACCAGCAGGGGAAAGGCAGAGAGAAAGGGACACACAGAATGTGAAGCAGGCTCCAGGCTCTGAGCTGTCAGCACAGAGCCCGATGCGGGGCCGGAACTCACAAGCTGTGAGATCATGACCTGAGCCGAAGTCTGACGCTTAACCGACTGAGCCACCCAAATGCCCCCTGAGTTAGAATTTTTAAGTTTACCTTTTACTAGGTTGTGGCTTGGGGGCCATTAGTTGCTTTATTGTATAGCTTCGCTTATCTCAAGATACACTTTGAGAATTAAATAAGTAAAATTGTGTTGGTAAAATCCTTGGCCTGGGGCCAAGTGCACACTCCTCTGTACTTCTTATGTTTGCATTCACCCATCTACTAGATGTCTGAGACAGTGACTAAGTTCATGATACAGCTTTGACAAATGTTCGTTTTTTACCCCCAAGTTGGAACGCACTCACGCATCACTGTTCCATTGATTTCTCTCAAAAAATGCCTAAACATCACAGCTTTGTTGTGTCCATTGTGTTGTCTCTATTGCTCCATAATGAAAATAGGATGAAAATAATGGCCTCATAGGAACCAGGCAAAGACCGTGTCTATGTCTGCATAACCTGCAATGTTTATGAAGACAGAGAGCACATGAGAGGAAGGTCGGCTGCATTTCGCGATCTCACTCCCGGAGCTTATTTTGTGGAGGGGAGCGTTACAGGCCGGAATGGTGCCTTCAGCGTGGCGCTCCTTCCTCCATGCCACACGCATGCGGTAGCGCCCTCTCTGAACCAGTACAGAGTCCGAATGACAGCCACATTTGTCAAGAGCATCATGAATATAAAGTTGCAGGCGCTGTCAACACCGATTTCAAGGGAACAGTGCCTGTGCCCACCACCGTTCGGCTCGGGCAAGAAGGCTGTTTGGAATTGCCTGGGAACTCAGCCTAGTCAGGCAGCCTAGGGCTCTGCTCCGTTGATAATTGCGAGCCCCTAGATGCCACCTTAAACTACCAGGTACCATGTATGTGCTTAAAAGTGAGCCGTGCGTTTTACATAGCTAAGCGCTCCATCTCTGTTAGCTTGATTCTCTGAGATTAAACGCGGGCCATTTACTACTCCGTTGATCCTGGCTTCTGACTGCGTAGGTTTTTCCTTCAGACCCTGTACCAAGCTCACAGAGCAACCCTCTGTATTCTAACATCTTCATCTATGAAGTTCTTTTGCATTTGGGTCAGGCCTTTAGTATTTGTTGCTTAAACACTCATGTAAATTAGAGATTTTAAAAGTCCCTAATTTAAAATAGTGATCTGGAGGGCCTGGTGCTTCTGAAATTTGTCCATAACTCTTGCACTTACTAGTTCCTCCTGGCAGGTAAAGTAGAGAAAACATACATAAATTTCACTCTGCGATATCTCCTGTCATGTTTCCCTTATGGGCTGATGGCTTGAGAGAAAGAAGAGTTAACATTTCACTTATGCCTCTTCGCAGATTACAGAGCAGATACAGAAGGAATATCAGAGTAGTGATTTCCATGAGAACAAGGCTGACTTACTGTTTGAAATCGTACCGAAACCTTGAATGTTCCAGGGGGACATGGAGCCAGGAAAAGATGACGAGGTTTTGAAAAAAAAAAAAAAATCAATGAGTTGAATCAAGGTATAAACAAAAATAGTGAAATATTCACTCAAATTTGCACCTTCCCATGGAGGACGTTGGGTCAGCGTCTTTGCTGTTTTAGACCATTTTACATTTCTCAGTTCGACAGCAGCAAAATGGGCTGCAGACTGTCTAGTTCTGATAGATATGTGCAAGAATCATTGGAAAAAAGATACAGAATTTGAGGTGTAGCCACTGTAAGTTCAATAAGTAACTGTCCAAAGCTGTACACAGGTGATCCCTTTAATAAAGTGGGAATTGGGGATTGTTTTTGATGAAAGTTCTTGGGCATCTCTGCGGCCTCGGGGTTCTGTGCCCATGAATCGAAGGGCATTCTGACTTTACATAACGGCCGAGCAGTGCATTTAGAGGAGGCAACACCCATTTAGAATAAGCCCTCTGTAAATAGCGCTGCCTGCACTTTTCAGCCTGTGGGCTGCCACTCAGCTGTGATCCGGCCTCTGTTATGTGCTCCCAGCAAAAGCCGGGCACCGGTGCAGCGTGCACACTCACCATATGTAAACCTTTTACAGGATGTGAACCCACACACCCAGATGTGTCCTGGGAACAGCAGCCCAGCCCAGCCCCCACCCCAGCCAGTGTAAGGGGCCACAGCTGCTACTTTTCCTGGCAACAGACTCTCTGAGCATAAGGTAACTGGCGTAAGGGTAGTAATCTCTGCTCTGACAGTTGGTTTGGCATAAGGGATTATTCTTGGGAAGCGTGTCTTCTCTTTCAGCTTAAAAATTGCAACTGGCATCACTATTTTTGATTTAAGGATGTTCTCAGCTTCTGCCCCTAAACTGCATCACACAACAACACAGACACATTTAATCAAGATCGCACTGAACTTCATAAGGGTGATTTCATAAGTATGTACATTGTTTTTTTTTTTTTAAAGTTTTTTAATGTTTTACTTATTTCTGAGAGAGAGACAGCGTGAGCAGGGGAAGGTCAGAGAGAGAGGGAGACACAGAATCTGAAACAGGGTCAAGGCTCTGAGCTAGCTGTCAGCACAGAGCCCACTGCGAGGCTTGAACCCAAGAACTGTGAGATCATGACGTGAGCTGAAGTCAGACGCCTAACTGACTGAGCCACCAGGTGCCCCACTTTTTTTCTTTTTTTAAAGAGGAGCCATGGAATGAAATTTCGGTGGTTCGGGCCAGTCTGTCAAGGGTGGCGTGCTCCACGGAGCCCCTGGTCAGTCTTAGTCGTAACAACGAAATTGCCTGGCTGTGACCCTTGGCGGGAACTGTACTGCCTGTGGTAGCCACTGTGTTGCACAAGGCAGATGCGGCCCCTCTCAGGTGTGACATCAAATTAGGGGACAGTGCTGCCACGGGAGCCACAAGGTAGGGTGTCAGCGAGCGAGCCTGGGGACGGCGCGGGAGCAGTGTCAGAAACGAGCTTTTTCATTTTCCAAGCACGGAGTTCCAATCAGGTGACTGTTGCAAAAGCCCAGGAAAAAAATCATCATTTATAATTCTGGGCACCTCTGAGCCAAGTGCTCTAAAGGATTTCTCTTCATTTTTTCTCCTCCTCAGAGATCGTCGTCGTTACCAAGGGAGATATTGGGATTAGAAGGTTGGTAAAACCAAAGAGCGAGAAAATCTGCACGTTCACATCATCGTTACTTAAGCCCAGTGAGCCCTTGGAGAGAATCAATCTGGCTGACTTATGGTTTGGGGTCGTGTCACCAGCAAACTGAAGCTTTAAATTTCTTAATGGGAAATTCGAGGTCATGCGAGCAGAAGTTGGCAAACTACAGTAGCACAAATGAAATTAGGGCTTCTGGTGACTTCCTCTTTGGTTCTGTTTGACATTCTGGAGTGGCTGAGAGGCACGTTCCGGGTCCCAGAAGCGTAGGACATACATAGGACTGTGCTGCCTGGGCGGTCCATCCTTTCCTTATCTATAAAAAGCAATTTGTTCTACATGATAGATGTTTAGTGATTTTTAATTTTTACTAGTTTTCTTAGAATAGAAATCTAATGTTGGTCTGATGGAGTTGTCATCTCCTGTGCCAATTGCATTCTCTTCCTTGGAGATTGTATTCACTCTTGTCATTGGCTCTGTCATGCCCACATGGGTTATTCCCAAATCCATGCTTGAGCTCACTCTCTACCCCTCCAGGTCTGCCTTCCAGCAAAGCCCTTCCACGGACCCGTGACATCCACCCGCTATTTGTCCAGTCTTTTTACATCTCCAGGCTTTGCTCCCTCAGGCTTCTATGCTATTTTACGGCTCCTGTCTTATTAGAAATTCTGCCTGTCTTTAGGCATAGCAGTATTCTAGAACCTATCGCCAGGTTCAAGTGATATTCAAAATATTTATTAGTGATGAAGGCTGAGCACCAGTCACTAGGTGGAGTTAACACGAGCCTGTGCGCTGCTGGGCAGCCCGTCGGATGTCAGCTCTGAGTGTTTCACTCTCTGACATCGATGGTTGCCAACCTGTCTCCTCTACTACACGTGTCTCACTGAAAGTCCTCCGATGTCTATCTAGGCTTTGCTCACACTTTAAATCCCAGTCATGTTCAAAGCGCATGGGTGACTAAGGTGTTCTTTGAATTTGAGTGAATAAATCATCTTTTTTTTTAAATTTTAGTACTTTGTTTCCATTAATATTAGCCTTATTTCACACTTATTATTTGGATGTCACATTCCTCTGTTGACTTCTATTGGCTCTTTCTGTGTGTCAGCTTTGTCTTTCCCTCTGTTTTAGTAGCTTAATGTTAAAATTTCAAGCTGTTATTCTAGAGTAAAAGGATAATATGTTGAATGTTAATTATATCCTCTGATCAAATTAGCTACAAAATATGTGTTATATTCAAATTCTAGGAAAAAAAATAATTTCTTCTGTCTCTGTTAAATAGCAAAAGCCAAGGATGGAGCTCTGAAAAATTTTAGAAACATTTTCTCTCCTTAGAAAAAAAAATTTTTTTTAATGTTTTTTATTTATTTCTAGGAGAGAAAGAGAGACAGCGTGAGCAGGGGAGAGTCAGAGAGAGAGGGAGTCACAGACTGAAACAGGCTCCAGGCTCTGAGCTGGCAGTCAGCACAGGGCCCGATGCGGGGCTCGAACCCACGAACTGTGAGATCATGACCTAAGCGAAAGTCGGACGCTTAACCGACTAAGCCACCCAGGCGCCCCTCTCCTTAGAAAAATTTTTATATCAGCTCATTGACCAAGATTTTTATGGTAGGTAAGCTCTGTGCTCAGCTATATGTCTATATAATTACATTATTTTCTCATTTGTATTTATCAATACATCCCCAAAGACAACACTTTTTTTTTTTCCAAGTATCCTATTAAAATCAAGACATGGTATGCCTGTAATGCCATATGTTCAAAATTTGAACCCATCAGCTTAGTGGTCATCAAAATAGTAAAAACAGGACTCTGAGATAACGGGGCTCTGGAAGACCTTTCCTCCATGGGGCACCAGGGTCTCTCATTATTTGAGTCTAGAACATATTACTGTGGGCCCTGTACGTGTAACACCACTGGCTTCAGTTATCACTATGACGGACATTTGAGAGTATCACTTGCCCACGAAGCAAACATGTAACATCACAGATAAGGCTAACGGCTTAGCAAGTGAGAAGATGAACACAGGGAGTCGAGGAGCCAGGCTTGAGTACATTCAGCAGGAAAAGCAGGCATGTGAAAAAGAGCAGCTCGCATTGAGGGGGAGAATTTATTTATAACTAGATCATGTGAGCCGTCATCTCTGCGGCAGCTCACTCTGGTGCAGATGTCCGCCATGTTTCTCTGTGACCTAACCTTTCTTTAATGGACGCTGATTACTCACCTTCCATTTTGACTGAGGTTGAACACGTGCACAGCCTTTTTGCAACAGCTTCTCCATTAGAATCATAAAGCACTTTCAATTCATAGATGTCTTTTCACCCAGACAGTGCAAATTATGCCTGTATAGCAAGTTCAACTCTGGGTCTCCTGAAGTCCCCTCACCCACATGTTCTGACCCATTCTTGCCATCCAGGGCACAATGCCTCCCCACTTTAATTTTTACCAGGCCTTTTACCAGAGTAATAGAATGCAGAAACCAGCCTTGTTTAGTAAGTTCTAATGGGTTGCACAGAATTTTCAGTTGGGTCTGCTTTATTTGATTTTATTCTCGATACTAAAAAAGAACTTAAACATGACCCTCAAAAAAGTGCCTTAACCTTTGGAAAACATGTCTAGAAGCAGAGGAAATTAAGGCATCTACAGGATTCCCTTGAGCAGTGGCAGATGCCTGAACTGTAAAAACTCTGACAGCTCATACTGGTTACCATGGTGAGAGAAGGCCTTCTTGTTTATAGGCCATTAATGGGATGCTTATACTCCTCAAGGTATTAAATTAATTGTTTGGCGCACATCTCCTTCCTCCTGCATAATGTGAATGTGTTGAACCAGTGCATAAACCTTACATAAGGCCTGGTGGGCTGATTTTTTAGGACAAGCAAGGATTCTCCTTCTACTTATCTAAATTCTGTGTGCATAGTCAATGTGCTATGTGTCATTATTCTATCTCAAGTATATGTTTGCAGGCACCTCCAACCATTTCCAATATTTCCTTGTAAAATAATATGTATCCTGTGGCCTGACTTGCAATACAAAACCGTAGAATTAATGTTACCCGACTGCAGAAGGCTTGCAGGTGATGAATAGGGCACTTAGAGTTGATGTACCTTGTACCTTCATTTCAGAGCTATGCTTTTGTACCATAAAACACATTTACTATGCAAAACTAGTTTTTACATCCTGATTTTTCATTGCTCTTTGGGATAGCCTATAGACATTAAACAATTCCTAGCTTTCTTTTTTTCTCGGCTGCTGATAATTATTTTGGTCTCTCTCCCTGAAGTCGGTGCTAACATGTTTTGAGCAAGTGGTCCCTCTACGAGATCACCTTTGTATGAGTACCTGGAAATAATCTCAGCCATATCCCAGACTGATTGATTTTCCTTTATTCTTATCATATGTTAAATGAAAAATAATGAGAGGATGTTAATAATAGAGGCAGTCTTGAAATGAGCAAAGCCAAATGTGCTACAATTATATTGTTATCACATAAGTGCATGTTTTTCTGTTTTCCTGTTAACGTATGTATCATTTGTGGAAGCCAAAAAAAAAAAAAAAAGGTAAAGCTTATATGGAATTTACAGGTTTCTGTTTTAGTTTCTGGATTCCAAAGACTAGGATTACTTACCACATGCTGATCTGCTCAGTTGGTGAGAAAAATACCTGAAATTCACACCTCCTGGTAGTGCCTGGGTGGTTGGTGAAGAGAAGTGTAATAAAGAGTTTGGCTTCAGTAGAAGCTATTTGTTGGTGATTAAAGCACATTTAACTGTAAAACCTTATCTTAATTTATGGTCCTTAACAACTAATGATCTATTCTGTAACCAAGAATGAATTTCTGTTATGGGTATAATATCTTATAATTCAGAGCCTTGTTAACTATGCACCTGGTGAGTTGTGTTGGGAAAGCAAAGCCAAGAGAGGGAAAGTAAACCCTGTGAAATGCTGAGCCACTAATTATCCCTGATCACTTTTGTCATTGTTCCTGCGATCCTATGACTTCTGGTTCTTAGCAGCCAAGGCTAAGAGTGATACTTCCTGTCCTCTCTGGCGAAGACGTGTGGCCGTATTCTGGCCAGCTTGGGTTTGTGTGGAGGGTATGAGGCCTGCACTCTGCTCACCTTTTCCCTTCTAACTGGCAGGACTGTAGATGAGAGGCTGAGCCTCGCCAGGCCACGGCAGGGACACAACCCTCTAAGGACGGCAGAACCACAGCCAGGTAACGTGCATGTGTCCCTGACACCATGGAGCCACCATGCCAGCACTGGGC